ATGGAGAAAGAATGAGATTCTGAATAAACCCCTCAGAGAAATAAAGAACAGGGACCAGGTTCCCAGATAGATCCTACACCACCGAGCCTCCCTTGGGTTGGGAATGGGGGCATGATCTGAAGTATTACAGGATCTGGGAATGAACAAAATTATCCTTCATCACTGGAGCCTGAGCCTGTTCACTTGTCTTTGATCCCACATGAAAGTTGATTGTAGCCAGGAGCAGATCGGTCTCTTCTCCCAGGTAGCAAGTGACAGGACAAGAGAAATGGCCCCAGGTTGCATCACGGGAAGTTTAGTTTGGAGATTAGGAAAAATTTGTTTAATAAAAGAATGGTCAGGCATCGGAGCAGACTGCTTAGGGAATTGTGAATCACCACCTTGGAAGAGTTCAAGGAACATGTGGATGTGGCACTTGGAGACACAGTTTAGGGGTGCATTTGGTAGTGCTGTGTAGGACTCGATGATCTTAGAGGTCTCTTCCAACCTTAATGATTCTGTCTGAGTAGTCATCCTCAGCTGCTGTGGTGATGAGCCTCAGATTTGCACTCCTCTGACACCAGGACAGCCACTGTTACCATTCAAGCCTCTTCTGCAGCCATGGGCTCTGTGCCCTCACAGATCCCTGGGAAAGCAGCCCCTTGCCCTACATCAGACACTCATCTCATTTTTGTAGGTGTAGGGGTGTTTTCAAATGCAGGCTGTCACATCCAGTGCAAAGGTGTACTTCCTGCAGATGCCTGAGGGTGAGGGATGAACTCATCCAACCCACAAATGCACATGTTTTCCATGAACTCAAAAAAATTGGGCCAAATTCTTTGGGAGCTGGTTTCATTCCACACAGGTCAGGCCAAGCTGTGTGGTTGAGGTGAACACTGTGGTTAATCCCATCTGTTTCAACAGGGCCACACATAACCCTCCCACCACCACCCAAATGTGGCTGCAAGCACTGCAGGTCATGTCCAGCAGCACTCAGGAGGCATCAGGCCCTGATATTAGTCCTACCTGCATGGAAGGATTTATTAACCCCTTCCAAGGGGCTGTGGGAAACACCATCCCACCCGTACCATCATCTGGGTGAACCATGTCAATGGACACCTCCAAGGTCTTCAAGGGTGATGGGACAAGCCCCCAATCCCAGCCAAGCTTCAGTGGTCCCAGCTTCAGGCATCCAGCTGAGGGGCCCAAGTGAAAGCCATGTGACACATTTATACTGAACACAGGGACCCCTGTGCCTGCAGAGAAGAAATTTTAAATGGCTACATTTAGATGGCCTAAATCCAGAAAGTGATGTATCCATGAGTCTATTGTATCATCCCTCTGGAGCTGCTTCACTCACATCAGCAGCTGGTCGGCGTCGGATCAAGCAGAAACCATTTCTCAGCCCTTACTGTTCACTGTTTAGCTGCTGGCCTTTTGGTTTCACAGAGTCATGGAATGCTTGGGTTGGAAGGGACCTTTAAGGGCCACATAGCTCACTGGGATGTCTTCAACCACATCAGGTTGCTCAGAGTCCCATCCAGCCTAATCTTGAATGTTTCCAGGGCTGTGGCACATACTACCTTTCTGGACAACCTGTACCAGGGTTTTACTCATTGTAATTACCTTCATTTAAAAGGAATTTTCTTCCTTTTATTTAGTCTGATGTTCTTCTCCCATATATCCTCCCCTGCTCACCAGCACAGTCCTGCCCACCTGCTGCAGCTCCTGGCATTGGTCCATAACCATCTCCTACCAGCAGGTACTGGGGATTTGGAAAAGTCACACAGTGACATCTGCTCCAGATGTCCATTCTTCACCATGTTAAAATAGATTAAAACATCAACTTATTAATGAAGATGATACTGCAGAAGAATTTGAAGCCTGTGCTTCAGTTTTGCAGGCAACTTTGCTGCTGGCTTAGTAGAAAATGGCTTCTACCTCCCAGGAACACTGTCACAATTTCAGTATTTTTGGAAAGGAGACAGGGTTTTTTCACCCTTACAAATGGAATAAAATCACACATGTGCTAAGATGGGCCATGGCTGAAGGATATGCCTCTGAGACAGAAAGAGCCACGTTCACATGCCAAACCTGCTGTTAGGCAGGAGTGGGTGCTGAATGTCAACATCCAAACTGCTAATCCAGACCCTGGGCTGCTCTTGGATGTTTCCTGTCCTTGTTCCAACCTGGACTTGAAAACTATTTTCCACTAAAAATGGTAAATTGCCATGAAAAGAACCCTGTATGATAAATCACCCCATTCTGACAGAATATAATTCCTTGGAGATTTTCCAACCAGCTGTAACACTAACACCATTGGAAAGTCTTTAGGCGTTTCTGCCTGGCTGGAAACACCAGTTGTGTGGAAATCAATAGCAGATGTTACCCAGTGTGAGATCCACCAAAGTGAGTCCAAGAGCCCAGGAGTCTGTGCAGCAAAGAGAAATCATCCCATGCCAAACCCACAGTATTGCAACCTCACTAATACACACACACACCCTGGACACACCTCACACTCCTTGCTCCCAGACAATCCCTCCTGGCCAAACGAGTTACACTGGTATTTATTATCCAATACCTGTTCCATTTTCTGGCACTGGCTACACTGGAGAGATAACCTGTGAGCAAGCATGGCTCAGTTCCCTGCTGAACAGGAGCAGCTCCCTGACCAGAGGGAGGGACAGAGCTGCTGATGGAGCTCCATGCAAGGTGAGCAGCTTCAAAACGTGCACTGGTAGCAGAGGTGTGACCCAGAGGGCCTGAGGGGCTGTCCTGCAGGGCTACTGAGTCCCTCTGCCTTTATGGGTGCCCAGCCCCAAGGTGGATACAGCAGAGACAAGGGGCATCTCGAGGTGCAGAGACCCCTGTGTCAAAGCTCAGGGTGATCTGGTTAAGGCAGGGACACCTTCCACTAGACCATGTTGATCAAAGCCCCATCCAACCTGCCAACCTGACCTTGACCATTTCCAGTGATGGGGCATCCACAGCTTCTCCAGGCAACCTGTACCAGTGCCTCACCAGTCCCTGCAGACTTGAGACAGATACACTCAGCTGCAGGGGTTCATCTGCCCAAAGAGAGGTACCTGCAATACGGAGGTGCCAGCATCTGGTTTACTCATCACAGGACCTCCATACCTTCAGTGGAACATAATTACCCCTGTTAGAGAAGGTAAGGAAGTTGTGATAAAGCCAGCCCAGGGACCAGCACTGCACAAGAGGGAGTTTCTCCCTGTGAGCTAAGAACTGTGCTGCTGTGCTGTGATTTCTGTATGAAACTGGCTATCATGCTGCACTCCAGGTGCATCTCACTGCATCTCACAAGAATAAAACAATCCCCTCTCCTGGCACACACACAGTCATACTGCCTGCAACACCTCAGCTTTTACCTACTTATTCTGTAGCTTAATTAATTGAATCTTGGAGCGCTTTGAGAGAGGAAAGGTGTTTAAAAAGCACAAAAGAGCCATTAATATCAGATGTCAAGCTGTTACAAGGAAAAACTGTTGCTGCTGTTTTCTTGATTAGTCAGGATACCCTAGGTTGTTATCTCATTTGCATTTCTGTGACAAAAAATGATACCAGCCCCTCTTAGGAAAAGTCATTTTATTTTGTTGAAGCCATACGTTTCCAAGGATAGAGTAAAGCTCAGGAGCCATAAATCATGCCTAGATAAGAAGAATCTCAAACAGTGGTTTTTTGCAGGATGTTGCTTGTTCTGTGATAATTGCTTGATGTTCAAGGCAGACTTCCCACTGCCTGCTCAGACATGCAGCACAGAAGAGAAATGCCCCATGCCAGTTACTGTTCTTAGCATTTGAAATCTGAGCATGTTAAGACAATTTTAATAATACTGTTGCACCTCTGCCCAAATCCTATAGAGCTGCAGCGCCCTGGATTTCAAGGACTGTCCACTTGCTGCCAGAAGTCATGGCTGCAGCAGAGACATGCTGGCCTGAGCTAGGTGGGGTACCAGTGATGGTGGCAAACTGACAGTGCAGGCCTCCTGAGGTGCCTCAGCTCTGCTGCTTATCAGCACACGAGCCCCATGTCACTGTGACTGCAGAGCTGCCCTGGAGATGCTGGTGGACCTGGGATACAGGGGCTGCTGGGCTCAGGTGCAGGGAAGAGCCCCAGGAAGTGCATGGCTGGCTGCTGTGCAGTGCCATGCAGCTAAAATGGGCCAGAAACAAGGTCACACAGAAGGTGCAAGACAGCTGTGGGGGGCAGCTACCCCTTCTCCCCAATGGTTGGGCTGCAGTTGAGAGCTGCCACCATCACACCTGCCTTCAGAGGCTGCTGGGGATCCTGTCACCCCACCCTAGCATCCCCTGGGGCTTGAGCTGGCTTCTTTCCTGCCTTCACAGCTGCCACGTAGCCCTTGAGGAGTACCAGGATTAAGACAGGGTCTCATGAAGGAGTGGGAAATCAGCTCCACATCTGTCTTGACAGCAGACCAGGCATGTTGAGTGGGCAGACATGCAAAGTTCAGTTTGGAGAGCATCCACTGGCTGCTCTCTGCCCGTTAGGAGCTGTGACTTTGCCCCTCACACCCAACATTCCTATAGCAAAATGTCACTGACTTTACCCAACTGCAACCCATACTGGCATCCAAAAGCTGTTTTTCCTTTTGAACAAAGCCAGCTCTGCTTGCAGCCTCTCTTTCTCCATGACACAGCAGTGGCCCATGAAGGGCGAGGCAAGGAGTCATCCTCTCTTTCCACTCATGCCACTGTTTCCCCACTTCATCACCATTGTTGGCATCCCCAGCTTTGCCATTTGCATCACTGCTGAACAGGGTGCCACCTGGCCAGGGTGTGCTGGCCTGGGATGTGCACACACATCTGGTTGCATTGAACACAGCCCCTGAGCTAAAGAAACAACTCTGTCCCATCATGAACCAGCCAAATCTCCTTCTCCCTCTGAATCCATCCATGCCAGCTCAGCCTTGCTGCACGATGCAGAGAGGCAAAGCTGTCATGTTAGTAACTGAGTTCTCTTCAACCCAGGACAGGCCACCACCAACACAGCACTACTGGGATGGCAGCACCAGCTTGCTCACTCCTGGGACTCATTTTGGGATGCTACAGTAGGTCAGGGGTCCCCACCAAGCTGGCGCTGGAGGGAGAGACACAGATGGGTGTGAAAGGAAGGAACCATGTATGCAGGACTCCCAAACACCTTGTGGAGTCCCAACAAAGTAAATGCTGCTGAGACAGGAAGCCTCCCTCCTGCAGGCAACTGCACCAAGAGATCCAAAGCCCCTCGCTGAGCCCCAGGGAAGGGCAGCACCCCTGTGCCCTTCTCCAGCAGTGGCAGATGTCTCTATGCCCTTCATCTGGCTGCAAACACTTGCTGGTCCCCTGCAAAGCCCTGACATGTGCCCCAGCTCCAATTTCACAGATGTTGGGGGACATGACTCATGCTGCCAGAGGGAAGAAGGGGTAAAGAGTGAGCAGAGAGGATGTGCAGAGCAGAAGAGGAGTTGGTTCTGCCTCTGACATTAAAGTATCACTTTGTGTGTGGATCTTCACCCAGCAAAACAAGTGCTGCAGCCCAGGATCCCTCCTGCCTCTCCTCCCACCTGATAGTCCATAGTCCCCTGTGTGCCTCAGGAGCAGTCAGCTCTCAAGGGAGACAGGGCAGTTTGCAACAGATTTGAATCCAAAAGTGTGGCTCTCGGATCTGCTGAGAATTGAAGCAGACAGGAGGGCTTCAGGGCTAAGGTATTAGTGGGTTTAGACCTTCAGAGAACACCACATCTTGAAGATTCGGGGCTCAGACCTTCAGTGGTCACCAGACAGCAAGGAAGGATTGGGGGAAAACAACCTTGGTATGGCTAAGGAAAAATGCTTTCCCACCATGCAAAAAAAATGGGAAGTGAGTCCTTCCTTGCAGCAAGATCCATGCAATTTCAGATTGGAAAGGCCTGAAGACTATGCGATATACCCAGCTGCATCCCCTCCACCAGTGGGACACCAGAGAAATGAGCAATGCAGTCAATAGCAGGACCTTGCCCCATGCCACTCTGCTCCCTGCTGTTTCCCACCCCAAGTCCTTGCACTCTTGCCTCCCTCTCCTTTCATCAAGTCCCAGTAACCCTCTGTAACTCATGTCCTCCCCTAACCACCACCACCTGCTCCTTGGAAGGGCTGGGCTTCTGCAGAGCTTACTGCCACTGCATAAGTCTCAGTGTCATCATAGCCAGAAAGAAATTACCTCATACCACATTTAGTGTGCATTTCCCAGAGGAAGCCTCTTGACACCTGCAAATCACAGAAACTTTGTGGCCTGCACCGATAAAACCCGAACATTTTACAGCAGACAGAACTCTAGTTACAGTGGTGGCGGCCCCGAGTGACATCGCCTTGGCCCTCCTTGTTATTCCCCAGTCAGTTCATTATTATTAATGTCACTACAATAAATACCAGAATGAAATTGACAGCGTTTGGCCACGTATCTTAAAGCATTGCCCCACTCCTCCTTTATTCCATGTATCTGCAGCCTTGGTTTCTGTTCCTCTCAGTCCCCAGAAGAGCCTTTAGGCACAAACCGTTTGAGGATGTGCCAAGCCAGGTAATGAAAGCCATGCAGAACCGCGGCCGTGGCATCGATGACCAGCGAGAAGGTGCCCACGATCCCAGTGGCCATGTCCTGAAGGACAGAGGGAATGGCACAGATGGAGTGGTAAGGGAAAGCAGCAAGGTGAAGGACGAATCCCACGGGGATGCTCAGGATCCTGTAGGTGAGGGACATCACATCTTGAACAATTTGCAGGAAGCCCAGGAAGATGTTGACGATGACCCTCCCAACATCATAGGGGATGCTGATGAGCACCATGCTGATGGCTTTAAGGTAGGACACCATCCCATTCCACAGGCTGCAGACTCCACCCAGAATTGTGCCAACAACTCGCTTTACAACAAGCCACAGAAAATAAAACACAAATTTCACCAGTTCCACAAAGATGTAGATGAGGAGTTCCAGAAGTTTGATGAAAGGGGTAGCAATGATGCCAGCCACTCTTCTCACCAAGCCATTCTCTTTGGTCTCCTGGTCGTTATTTGTTCCTACTTGCTCTTCAGAGCGGATCTGACTGACAGCTTGCAATACTGCTTCTCTTTTCTTCTGGCTTTGTTTGTCTTTCCCACAGTTGCCCTTGAACAAGTGAACTCCTGGTAGAAGCTGCTTCTCCAGCTCTCTCACTGTGAGGTCTGCCAAGCTGTTTTCATCATTGGTTTTTTTCACTAGTCCCAAGGACCATCCCTCTGAAGCATCACAGCAGGCTGCCAGCCAGAGGCTCTCTGGCACCGACACCTTGCCTTTAACTTGGACACGGGAAGGAACTGCACCTGCAAGGAGATATAGATGATCCATCTTGGAACAGTGAGGGATCAGAGCTTGCTCTACTACCTTCCCAATGTCTCTGTGCCAGCTTTTGCTCAGAGCCAGGCTCAGAGGGACAGCATTCGTGAGTGTGTAAGTGGCCATCTGGAAATCCTTCTCATTGAGAAAACTGGGATTGAGAAGGCCTCTCTCATAGCCAGAGCCCACGTAGTCTGAGGTCAGGGCTTGATTTGTACCAAGGTTGGCCACAGTGCCACCAATATCAGCTTCATGCACCATTTCATGCAAGTCATTTTCTGGATCATCTATCTGAAAGAGTAGAGAGAAACATTACTGCATGCAATTCACCTTCCTAGAAAACAATGCGTAAAATGAGCCCTCACATGTACTTTTCATTAGCACTATTAGTTCATGCTGTGCCTTGGATTATATCCTGCATCCTCTCATTACCTTCCTTGAAGTGCTTCAGAGGAGTGTATTCTCTACTCAGCTTCTCTGACAAACACATTGGGTTAGGCTCCAAAGGATATTTGCAGCTCTCAGCCTGGTATACAGCACAGCACAGACTTAAAAGTCTCACCAGGCACCACATACCAAGCCTCTGACTTGTAATTTGTCCTAGAAGAGATTTTTAACACCAATAGATGGCTAGATTTAGGGTCATGTTTTCACCTCCTACTTTGGTGGTACCTGCAGTTCACTTAAGAACTTAACCATGGTTTAACTTAAGCCCCTCTGAACTATCAAATCCAAGTCATGGGGAAAGAAAAAAAAAAACAAAAAAAAACAAAAAACAAAAAAAAAAAAAAAAACCAAAAAAAAAAAAAAAACAAGCAAGCCATGGTGTATAAGATGTCTAGAGAAGGCATTTACCTTTCACTGCTTATTGTCTAAGAAGCAAGAATGAAACCAGACATCATGTCAGATGACCTGAGCTACCCCACCTTGAACAGGAGACACAGCAGTGAGCTCCTAGGGCTGTTGCAGGGCTGGTCATCAGTAACTTGATCCTCACATCATTAACAGTCTGAACCTCATCCTTAATGACCACCTGGCATAACATGGGTGAGGGTGCCATCACCCAAGGCCCTCGATGGAATCTGTGCTACCTGCTTGTGTCTGTGGCTCCCATGCAGTGGAGCCAGAGGTAGCAATTACTGCAGTGGGAATTTGTCCTGGAGCCACGCACGAGGGAAGGGAGCGGGCAGGGGAGGTAAAGAGCAGTGGGAGGAGAAGCACTAAATGTCAGGGTGTGTTCAGGTCCTTCTCAGGTGACCACAGCTCTGTCTGATCCATAGTCATTCCTATTGACACTGCCTGCAGCCGCTCCAGAGGGCTGTGCCAAATTGTCATTTTGTCCCTCAAATTAAAGGGTGAACATGTTGCTAGAAGTTCAGGGGTAGCAGATGATCTCTGGCAGTCACTGCCTTCTGTAGTCTCTGTTTCAGAGGGTGCGGCCCTCAGGTCCCCGCACTGTGCTGGCCCAATTAAACCTTCTGCCTTTGCCCCTGGCCCATAAATTGTTTACTGCACTATATAATATGCACTTTGGAGACACCTATGACAGACAGCTCATAGTCTACCTTGAATCACTGCCAGGTCATCCATCCTTGTCTCCTGACCACCCTGCAGTGCACTTGGACAGATACCCAACTATGTCCTTGCAACCTTACATAGAGTTTGCATCCTCTTAATGGCACATCACCTCCTCAGAGCTCTGCACAAGCCTGTCAGGGCGAAAGGGCCAGTGTCAGCAACTGTCCATCACCCTTGCCTGGGAGCTGAGCTCTGGCTGGCCTCCTGCACCAGCCAAACCCCTGCAGTCAAGGCGCAGGGCTCCCTCTGCACCAAGCCTGGTCACAGTGCCAAGCCTGGCCATTGCAGAGGGCTGCATTACCCCGCCTCCTGCTAAGGAGGTTTCTTGCCCTTTTTTTTGAAGTATCTGGTGCTTATTGCTTCAGGAGGGAGGATCATGGTGAGTCCCATGTGCTGATGCACAAGTCACAGCTTTTTCCAAATGCACCACTTAAAAAGACTTATTCTGCACTTTTGCTGCCTTATTCTGCTCCTCTGGCTCAGTGACCCCAAACAACAGGCTGCAGCTGGCTGATGAGGCCAGACATTTTGCATTCCACAAAATCACTGTCTCTTCCTGCCCCCCCTTCCCTTGCCATTCTCCCCTTCTGATGAGGTGACGGTGTGCCATGGGACAAGGGATGCACCCAGTGTGTTTAATAGCATGGAAGAGGTGAGGGGGATTGGGCATAGATGTGAGGCTGTGTCCAGGAACTGTCCTCAGTGCCATGACCCTTTGGAGTTTGACACCCTCTCAGAGACACTCATCTCATCTCACTCCCATGGTGCATGCTGCCAATCTACAAGGACACAGACCTAAAATGGATCACCTCTGCCTCCTGGCAGGAATTACCAACGTACACAAAGCAAAACAAACTCTCCCTATGAGTTGCTGCATGCAAACCTTGAGGATCCTATAAAGAAAATATGTCCCTCGTTACCTGTCCAGTTGCAGGCCTTTGCACTTACCATCAAGATTGTTTGGGTGCAATTAAAAAAGAATATGACAAAAATGCAACTGTATGCTGCTCATGTGTCAGGCTCTGACATCACCTAATTATGCTTATAATAATTCCTATTATGGTTTGTCATAACTAATGTGTACCTGAGGTTTCCATGCCTCCTCCAGCTCAATCCCAAAGGCAGGCTGTCTCAGCACTGCATCTAATCTGCATTGCAAGATACCTCTCCTCCTTGCTTCAAAAAGCTTCTGGCTTGTGTCACCCCAAAACATACCTGTGTTCATGGAGTCAGCCATGAAGCCACCTGTCCAAACAACCTGGAAGAGCTCAGGGCAAAATCTAAGCAGACAGGTAAACTCCCTATCATAGAATGGGGGTTTAAAAATAACTAATGTGCCTGCAGCCTGTATGGATGTTAGCACATAACAATATTGATGGGTGTCACTAAGTGGAGGGTGCAGTTTGACAGAAGGGAGGGAGGCAGAGGGGGATTAAAAGTATGGCAACACACAGTTATTAGGGCAGGCAGCTTCCATTGAGTTTGGTCATTTTACAAGGCAGGACACTGCCACCCCCCACCTTCCCCACCCTGCTATGTAGGATCCCTGAACTTCAGCTTCCCTGTCCCACCACTACTTCCTCAGGCACCTTTGCACCTTTGATTGAAGTGGAAATGTTTGATCCAACCTTAGCTGTGATTCATACCTCAGGGAAGAGGCACACTGAGCCTTACACTGAAGTTTCTGCAGTAGGATGTTCACCAGTGGCTCTAGAAGTGCCTGTTCTCTTGACTCTCTACCAAGAGAGATTGCAGGAGCAGCTCAGAGGTAACTGCACTATAGCTGGGCAAGAATCCCACCTTGGTTGTCTGCCTGGCAGTAGCCATTAACCAAATGAAAACACAAGGTAATTCATCCAGCCCCTCATAAATTAGGATGGAAAAAGCAACTCCGGAGTTTTCCGTCTCTCTCCAAGCTACAGAAAGAATCAAACAGAGATTTCCAGACAACCAAAATGGAGTGAGGTAAAAGACACCTGAGTGACTTGCTCACAACCCCTAGGAAATCTGTGGCAGAGCAGGTTTTCAGACCTGTGCCTGGGGGAGTCCCATCAGTACCCTGCTCATCAGCCTACCCTTCCTGCTCTTTAATTTTTCACTAATTGCTGAATTAATTCATTGTTTCCAGCTGCCAATCTGCGGTGGGTGGCACTGACATTCCTCACACTTCTCACCCAATTACTGCCTCTGTGCTACATTTGGCATTTGTTTCTCTGGCAGACATTCCTGAGGAGGGAGTGAGATGGTGCCCTCACCGCTTACATCATTATCCCAAAAAAAAAGCATATGACAACTTTGAGGCCCTCACTGGAGTGCTGAGAGTGTTTGTATAGTGATTTCTTTCCACTTGCTGTGTGTCTGCATCCCCATGAGCAAGCACATGGCACTGTGCAGCTGAGCCAGCCCCTACCCAGCTATGCCTGTCTTGGCAAGGAGATTACCCAGAAAATCGGTGATATGAGCTCACTGGGCTGTGCTGCAGAGCAGGTGCTGCTAAGGGCTCCCTTCGGCAGCCAGCTGACCTAGCCTTGGTAGAGCACACACAATGGGTGTGAAAGCTCTTCCCCACTCTCTCCTCCAAGTGGCACTGTCTGAGAGGGCTGTATGCACTTATTTCTTGAGTTATAGGAATTTTTCATATTCTTGATTTCTTCCCATTACATATTCTTCTGCAGATTTGTTGGGGGGGTTTTTTGGGGTTTTTGGGGTTTTTTTTGTTTGTTTTTTTGGTGGGTTTTTTTTTTTTTTTTTTTTTTGTCCTAGTACTTCTCTCTCTCAGTCAGAGGTTACTCCAGGAAATGCAGAGTTCCTAACTCCTGCCTCTGAGACATCTGCATTTCACTTCTGGATGAAGTAGACCCATTAGTGTCAACTAAGAGCTACTGTCAACCTGTGAGGCTGCTCTGGAGAAGCCCGATCAAATGCAGCACCTGCCCTATTATTTCTGAGGCCACAGAAGGTTTTGGTGACAGGACACACACCGTTTGGGACTCTGGCGTTCTGGCAGAAACCAAGACAAGATGAGGGGTCAAAAGGATGGAGCAGGGAGGGCAGAGAAGCCAGCTCAAGGGAGGTCCAGAGGAACAACAGTTACAGGGTGATGGGGGGGAGCTGGCCACTGTTCCGCGGCAGGAACAGCTCCTGAGCCTACCTAGGAAGGTTGGGAGAGCTGGACCACAAGAAGCAGGAGGAGATATGGGGGCTAGGGGTGATGAAGGGTGTCACTGGCCAAGGCAAATGGGAAAGGATCTCATCTCTGCTGCTTTACCTTGCTGCCTCCATGGCACTGACCAAAGATTCTGCCAGCCTAGGTCCCCTTTGCACTTCAAAAATTTGCCACCCTTCCACAAGTCAGTAATGACAGATTCTGCAAAAAGTTTCCTCTGTTTTAAAAGGGCAAGCTCCCACAGCTTACCTGTGAAGCGGAAGGAGCTCAGATCAAAAGGCCTTTAGAAACTCCTGCCACTCAAAACCCAGCCCAGAGAGCCAGAAGACAGTCCAGGCTAAGAGAACCACTTAATATCTCCTGTCTTCAATGCCTGTGGCCTTGTGGCCTTAGTATCTCATCACCACACATGAGAGAAATAAGCACAGCATTCTCCTGTCAGAGGGGTGAGCTTCACCCCACTGGATTGTGGCAACATCCAGTAGCTGAGGGCCACACTCCCAACACACTGCTCTGACACTGCAGCCATTCCTGCCCTAACAAAGCACATTGCACACTGATAATCTCTCCTGAGCTCAACAGATGGGGTAGCCTGATGTTGCTACAATATTCGTCATTATCACTGCTGAAAAATCTAAAACATGAGGGGGGGGAGGGAGAAGAGTTAAAGTTTTCTTACAGCACCACCAGTTTTTAAAGGATTTCCATTAAATCGAACAGCCGGAAGGCCTTGCTTAAACATGCCTAGTGACAGGGAAGACAAAAATAATTGAGGCTCTGGAAAAGTTCATTTTATACTGCATATTTCTGACCCGACTGAAACCTGCACGCCTCACAACACAGCAGCTCATTTTCCTACCTCAGTCTGCAACACTGGGACACACTGAAAAGCTGCAGCATCAACTTGGTGAACCACAAATGGATGCTTTATCTCTGCTCAGTGAAGCTAAAGAGTCCCTATCAACACCGTGATCATACTGGCATCAGAACAAACTTGAACTTGACACTGCGATGCTTAACCCACCAGCAGCTCTCCCTGCCCACAAGAGCTGGCTGGGCAGGACAAACACATCACTGGTGTCAGAGAGGGCTTTCCTCTCCCCTGGCACTGCACTTTCATGCAGCAGCCTCTCCGTTTTCATTACAAGCTCCCTGGGACAAGAAACTATTTGTTTGCTCAGTTCCAAGCACAAAAATAAGTTCTGCTCATGCTAAATTCATACCAACAGAAGTTCAACAAGCAGAGCTCCTGCCTCCTCTGCCAAATTCTAGCCCCAGCTTCACCCCAGAGGAAACGTTCTCCAGGAAGAGTCGCTTTTCAGCAAAGGAAAAGCTGCCTTACCTGCGGTTCAACCAGCCAGTTCTCCTCCTCACTTTGAGCTGGCTTTGTAAACTTAAAAGCTGAATAAAGAGGGATTTTGTCCTTAGTACTGTAGAGGGTTGCAAAGCGTGGCTCTTTGTTGTACTGCTGACAGATTTTCACGTGGAACGGCTCCGTAAATCCTTCGGGTGGGACTTGTCCAGAGAAGAACACGTTACACTCGGCAAAACCAGTTTCATCCTTTCTAACAACTCTGCCCTGGGAAAAGCCTGGGAAAACCGAGATGCAAAGCAAGAATACAATTGACGTCTTCATGGTGCACTCCCTGGAGCCGGGGGAAGCGCCGTGTGCCTCCGCTGGGTACGGCAGGGGACCTGCGCTCAGAGTCCATGCAGCAGCCAGGCCAGAAGGCGTCTGGAATCGGGGTGTAGCGTGCGAGGCGAATGAAATCCGAAACCGCGGCCGGTCCCTGCGGGCGGCAGCGCGTTCTGCAGGCGGCGCGTTGGGGCACGGAACGTGCGCGAGGTGCTCTGACACACGCTGCGGACGGACGGACGGACGGACGGCGGCTGCCCGCGGGAGGGGATGCCCGGCAACCCGCAATCATCGGGGCTCTCGGGCAACGCCAGCAGCAGGAGGGACGCCCGTGGCGGCGGCAGGGCTGGAGCTGAGCAGCGGCACCGGCTGTCCAGGCTGGGGGTGTGGTGTGCTGCATTGCAGCAGTCCCCGGCAGGAATTTTGGCTGACACAGCCAGAAATGTTCCTGAGGCTGTCAGAGGGGATGCTGCAAAGTCAGATTCCACCGCCCCAAAGAAGGTATTAGCTGTCCTCTCTCCGGCTGTGAGCCTGGCCAAAGGAGAAAGAGAGAAAGAAGAGAGGTGGCAACACTGGAGCTGCTGGGAGCCCCCTTTGTCCCTTTTTGGGGTGTCTGTCGTCACTCTTGCTGCCAGCCAAATGCTGCTTAGATGCCTGGGAAAGGCATTCAGCTCCCATCTCTCCTGGCGCTGTATGGGGAATTCAAAACCCTCCAGCATCACCTCATCTTGGGAGACCCTCTCTCAGAAGAGATTACCAACAGGCAGAAGGCTGAGGACCCTCAGATCACGTACCCCCAATCAGCATCCACCACCGAACGTTTTGGCCAAACCTATGGAACTGGCAAAAAAAAGGAAATGAAGCTGCTCCCCTGAGTTTATGTTCAGCAGAGTCACCATCCACCCAATAAACAGCTGTCTATGATACCTTGGCTACTGCTGGGTAAAAGCAGTATTCCTTCAGTGACTGGGAAAATTAATGTTTTCAAAATAGTGGAGATGGAAAGGAGATTACAGAGCAGTACCTTGGAGTCAAGAAAAGGTAGCATTTCCCACCCAAGAAGTGAGATGTCATAAGCTGTGTTGCCAACAATTTTTAAAAATCCTTGATGCCAGTAGGGCACAAGTCCCTTTTATAATACAATTTCCAAGCAAAAAAACCTCCCAGGTGCTATCATCCCACAAGTACTTTGCAGACAAGGTAGGATTATGTCCATACTGAAAATGATGAAGTGGAACAGTGAGTGGTTAAAGGTGGTGAGCCTGGCCAAGGGCAGAGAAGGAGTCTGTGAAAGGCTAAAAATAGACCACACTGTATGACTATCATTCCTCTACTCAGGGATGACTTCTGGAAGTATCAAGAGAAGGAAATACGTCAACGCTTCTTGGTATGGTGATATCAGCTAGGGGAGACAGAGGCAGGCTGGACAGGCTGGGGAACAACAGGAAATGTAGTAAATGGGCTTGGGTTTGGTCCAGGCAGATGACTGGTCACCCAGCCCTGCCAGAAAGAGTTAGTCATGTTCAGGAAAGGTGATGGAAAGGAAAGAACAGACATAAAATTTCATTTTCCTGGATGTAAAAAGGCTCCTGGAAAATCAAGAACTGAAGCTGAACCTTTGCTGTTAGGTGCTTTTCTGATCCCAGACTTGCAAGTACCTGGGCAGCAGAAGAAAATATTTTCATAAGCCTGGTAAGCTCTACTACCAGGCAAAGCTAGGTCAGACAATGAATTTGAACATCCCACTTCAAGGCTGACATGCATTACCTCAGGATGGGCATGGTCCCAATCCAATGAAAAAGCAGCATGAGGTGCCTGAAGATGTGCATGACAGCAGGCACTAGCACACTGAACAGATCAATGATTCCCACCAGGAAACATCCTGCCTCTGTCCTACAGCTGTGAATCAACCCCTTGCCTCAAAGCAGCAACTCTGACTCATCAGATGTACAGCCCCACGTTGTCTTCTGAGCCTGAAGGGCTTTTATGGGCTTTTGAGAAACTCTGAGGAGTTCTTTCCTTTCAGGGTGTGAGGCTGGGGTCTGTCTGCCAATTCAGATCTGCATTTACCAGCAAACAGATAAACCTGACTCATCCTGAAGAGCAGGAGCTTCAGGTTCTCACCTCCCATGAGGAGCATCAGTTGAAAGCCAGCATGGAGTTCCACTCCTCTGCTCCCAGTTTGATTTTCTGTCCAAACAAGGTGCCTGTCCAGTTTCTATCTCATTTAAGATAGCTGTTGTGACCCTTGAACACAGAGCTGTGTATTTTTTTCTCTTGCTAACATCACTATTACTACAGAGACTCGTGCCGTCATTGTGCTGTGGCACTCATCATGCTGAAAAGATAAAGACAAAAGGACTGCCCTGTCCCAGGAAGGTTACATTCTCAGCCAAGGGACCATAGACAGAGGGCTCAAACACAATGAGATGGAGTTGGCCAGAGGTTTTGATGACCTGGTGCTGCAGTAGCTTATCTGCTATCAGACACTTTGATAGGCATTACAGGGAGTGATGCCTATAGGCTGTGATAGCGAGCAATGCCTATAGGAGCTGATGCCAAAAGGGCTATTAAGATCAGATTCAAATCAGCCCTAAGGCTGTTGATGTGAGCAGAAGAGCTTTGGCAAACTACACACTGGGTTGGCAATGGGCAGTGTGAGCTGGTGGTGTCAGCAGTGTGGCCCTGGGACCTGGGGCTGCCTTCTCCAAACCCATCAAGGAGTGACAGTGCAATAAGCTGAGCAGTGTCAACAGTGCAGGCAAGAACCTGATGTTTCATGTGATGGAGCAGAGGGAACCCAGGGAGGATGCAGAGTGATGTGGCCAAAGGGATACGTGAGGAAAAGTGATCATAGAATCACAGAGTATCTCCAGTTGGAAGGGACACACAGGATCATCAAGTGCAACTCCTGGCCCTGCACAGGATGCCCCAAGAGTCACACCATGTGCCTGAGAGCATTGTCCAAACCCTTCTTGAACTCTGTCAGGCTTGGGGCTGTGACCACTGCCCTGGGGAGCCTGTTCCAGTGCCCAACCACCCTCTGGGTGAAGAACCTTTTCCTGATATCAAACCCAAACCTGCCCTGACACAGCTTCAGGCCAATCCCTTGGGTCTTGTCATTGGTCCCCAGAGAGAAGAGATCAGTGCCTGCCCCTCCTCTTCCCCTCATGAGGAAGCTGATCACTCAGTGGCAGGCAGAGGTTGTGGGAGAGAAGAGAGACTGTAGACAACAAACTGTATAGACACAGAGTTTGCAAGGCATGACAGAGGTAAAGCATGTTGGGGAAAATTAAGAGAGGCTGGAGGGAAGAAGGGAAGAAAAGAGGTAAGGATCCAAAAAATGGCATTGACCAGCAGGAAAAGGAAGATATTGGGCAAAAATTAGAGTGGAGGAGGATCTGCATTCCTGAAAATCTAGGGTGCTAAGAAAAGGTGAAGAAGGAAAACAAATGGAAATAGGTGTGAGGAAACCCAGGAGGCAGGTTGTGACAGGTCAAGTGAGATGATGAGAGAAATCTGAGGAAAGTCTCTTGTGATAAGAAAATGAAGAGAAAATATGAGGAGGAACAGGGGGAAAGGAAAATGAAAAGTTTACATCAATCTTCATTGACCTGCCATAGATGAGCAGTGTTCCTGTTCTCCAAGGGTCAAAAGCAGGACCAAGAACAAGCATCAAGAACAATGTCTCAAAAGGAAGAATAACAAACAAAAACAAACCTGAAAAGCATGTCAGCATCCAAACTCTCTAGCCATTAAGAAGCTGCCAGGCTTGTCTGTCTGCTTTCCCACACTGCTTCTCCAGCCCTGTCTCTCTTCACACGACTGACACTGGATTTGCTACAAATAGAAAATCTGTCCCCTCACATGCTTGACCCCTCTACCCTAGCTTTTCAAAACATTCTTGACTCCAAATATTTTTCCAGGCTGGATCTCCAGTCTCCTATCATGGCCTCTGTGAGACTCAAGTGCTGTATATGACTGTCTCTTTCTCCTGAGAAGAAGAGGAAGAAGACAGTGTCTCCAAGGGCAAGCAGTCTCATCAGAGAGACACCATTTGTTTCAGTAGGCATACCAAGCTTGGACTTGGAGCACAGCAGTGCCAGCAGACATGCCATGGCATGTCAGAGAGCACATCTGCCTCCTCACTGTCTCATGGGGAAACAGTCTCTTTTTAAAATCAGTTTAAAAACTTGCTCTGGGAAGGGAGCCCAGTGCTGAGCTACAGGGAAAAGCAAGAGGGAAACAATTTTCCTATTGTAACTAAGAGATTGAAGGGCAAGGGGAGGGGGTGGGCAGAAGGACAACGAACTCTAGGGGATGAGCTTAAAAACACATTTTTGGGATTTTGAGTCCCACCTAAAATTAGGTTTTAATGCCAATCTCTGCTGCCTTTTGTCTTCACACCTTCCCCACGGTGTCCCTGGTGCTGGTGAGGAATGGCCCTCCACTGGCAGTGCTGCTTTGTTGCTCAGCTCTGCCATGATGCTCACTAGCAAGGGTGGCCTGGGAGAGGCCACGAACTGCCTCAGACTGCCAAGGATGCTGATATGGCTCCTCTGCTTCTTTACTTGCATTTTCTCCTGTCCAGACTCAGTGTCCACTCACAGCAGACAGTGGATGACCTGAAGTGGTGTCGCAGTTGAATTCAGAAGAGAAAAAGAGCGTGAAGTTTTAAACAAAACATTATAGAGGAGCTTGTCCACAGTGTACAATCAGAGGAAAAGGTGACAACTGGGAAGAGTGAAGCCACATTGCTCTATGGATGGTAACACCATTAGGACAGAGACATATTCTCATTTTGTACAAAAACTTGCACAGTGGAAGTCTGACAGGCACCTTGTAAAGTATAAATGAACCATGCATCATGAAGTATAAATGCATTGCAGAAATACTGAATAAAATTAATAAAATCCAAATGCTGCTTCCTTTGGCATTTTATCACAGTCTTCATACCCAAGAGATCTCTGTTAATCTTCAGACTGTCTAAAAGAAGCACA